AGTTCCACTTCCAAGGCAATAGCATCAGGCTGTCTACCAGTTGGATCATTTTAATCACATACAGTGTTGCTTAGCAATACAGTTGTCAGATAGCCAGGGTAACAGGACTAGTTAATTGGTGAAGGTCATATTTTCATGTAGAGGAAAATGGTCTGGTTAATTCCTTTGTCTACAGCTTTGTAGTTTGTTTTTCTTTTCACTACTGCTCACAAAAATTTATCAGGCTTTGCCAGTCCTCAGGTGCATGTATGGGTAAGTTGGAAGGATTTAGATATGAATGAATTAAAAGTTACTTAAATTAAAAAAAATCCACGTGGGTGGACATCTCTAGTGACTTGCATTTCAAACTGGTCTTTTTGTCTTCCATGACCTTATTCTTCCCCCATAGGCAACATCAGCACCATCCAGGAATTTGTTAGAGATGTAAATTCCCAGACTTACTGTATTTGAAGCTCTAAAGGTGTGAGACTCAGCAGTCTAATGTGCCCTCTAGGTGATTCTGATATAAGCTGAAGTTTGAGAAAGACTACCCTGGATGATACAAACTTAAATGAAAAGCATGTTCTTAGAGGGTTCATTGTCTGAAAGAGAAAAGCATATATGAAAATAAAATAAATCATAAGGATAGTCAAGTTTTAAAATAGAAATATAAGTAGAAGCATAAAGGAAATATATATGACTATAATTAAAGTGAATTCAAAAATTCTGGGAGTAATAGAAATTTGTAAATAAAAGGAGAGAGGAATGTTTTACAGCATGAACAGAATTATTCCGCTTAGATACTGTACTTAAAAATGTTCTAAATATTGCAGAGATTTGTGGGTTAAATCAGTGTTAGTGGTGTGGGCTAAGAATTTAACCAACTTCAGACAATCAACTTTTAATAGAATTTTAGAGCACAGTTGGTAAATATTAATGGTTTTAAGATATTGAGATAACTTGATTTCTATAGTTATATTTAATTATTTAAGTTTTTCAAAACTACATTTTAAAAGGCCATAATGTTTCAGTTCAATTTATTATTTAAAAAATTAGTCTCATTGGACATTTTTACTGAGGCCATTAAGGGTAAATTTAGAGTGAAAGTTAGAAAAAGTGTTTCTTCATAAATAAAAGTCCATGGTGACTTAAGAGTATTCTTTCACTAAGAAGACTCTTTGAGGTACTTTAATTTGTATGAATGGTAAAGAATTTATGTAAATCTCTTCCCAATTTTCATGTCTAAGGACTGATTAATTAAGTTTATTCTTGGTGTTTCATTTTGAAAAGACTACAGCTGTAGCAAACCTCTTTATATAACATAGTGGGATTATGTTTAAGTATTAGGATATCGTCATATCTTTATATTTTACAAATTTACAGGTTGTTTTCTTTTTTGCTCTTTAGCCGACCTCAGAAAGTATGTTTGTGTCCATTTCTACCAGTACACCCTCTGCACATCTCTACCCATTTGTACATAATTCAGCATCCAGCAGAGGTAAGATTTTATAAACCATACAATTTCAGATAGAATATGAGTGCACAAGAGGAAATACAGAGATAAATACTCATCCCTCCCAGCTTTTTAGCATTTCAAGAAGAAATAGTTTATAAATGCTTACTTTTTTGAAGAAATTTTTTTATATATTATATGATAATATAGAATCAAGTGCTTTAGAAACATGTTTCATAAAATGGTTTTATTAGTGTATAAATTTAGAACTCCAACAACTTTTGTGTGAAAAAAATGTAATTTTGTAAGTAAAGAGCTAAGAAAATCTTTCCTTTAAAAATTTTGGTCATAGCTTATGTTTCTTCATGTCTTTTCTTGCTAAAGTAGAAGTAGCTTGGCATTCTAGTCATACAAAGTAAAAAAGTAGAAGTAGCTTTGGCATTTTAGTCATACAGAGTAAAAAAGTAAAAAAAAAAATCTTTAGTTTCTTCAAGATGAATAGAGCAAATTTATATTTTATAATATGTGTGATATATTTAAAGATGTTTTAATTAATTTTTTTATTCTGGTTACAATTATATTGTGCCATTGTATATATATGTTTTTAACCTTTGATTAACTACAGTAATGAGAGGGGAGGGAAGGAGATTATAGGATACTTTTAATTAGTTAATACAAAATTACTCATTGCATAGTATGAATGAATTTAATATAAACTGAAGCTTAAACTGAGTTTAAGAAGGAAGGAAGTCAGGACATCTTAAATTCAATCTGGCTTTTACAAAAGGAATTATTATGTAGTTCCAGACATAAGATAGCTTTTAAAATATAGGTGTTTTCATTAACTGGTGGAAATTTTAATATACTTCAAATCTCTTAAATTTTTTTTAACCATAGTTAATCCACAGTTTAGATGATCCATCCAAAATAGTGCATGCTACATATGTATTGTATGCATATACAAATAACCCCATATTGCTTTTCTTTATCAACAAAGTAACTTTTCAGTCTTTCTCTAGTTTAGTAATTCTGGGCTGCCTATGTTTATCTTCAGGACACTATTTTTGGTAAAAAGGTATGTCAAATTGATGAATGCCCCATAAAAAAGTGAGTAAAAAGCATTTGGATAGGCTCAGAAGGGGACTTTGGGAAAAGAAGACTTGATGGAGATTATATAGAAGTGATAGGATAGAACATTTTTAAGAGTATATATATATATATTATGTAGAAAATGACTTTAGAAAGTGACTAAATCTATGTCAAAATCTCACAGTGATGTTAAGGAGGAAAGTATGTTATGAAATACTGGAAAATCTCCTAAAATACGTTTAAGGCATAGTTAAACATCTGTCTTAACAGGATTTAAGATAGAATTCTTGTGGTAACAAGACAGGTGGTTCCCAGTGTTGAAGGCTAGAATATTGGAAAAAAATCACTGATGATGGCTAAATGAATGGAATTTTCAGAATCAGTCACTAGATTTCTCCTCTTTGAAGTTATTTGGTTCTGTTTCCATTCTCTCTATTCTTTGGAAGCAAGGCTATAATTCTAGTCCACACTGAAATGGGAGGGAGACAGCTTCACTTTTTGGAGTGGGGAGTATTTACATTTATTATTTGGAATTGTACTGTAAGGAAGATTTGTTTTTTCTCCCCCATTTACTTATTTATTCAATCATTTATATCATTCTAGTCTATATTATACTTTGCTTTATAGTCGAATACTATGTTATTTATTTATTTTTTCAAATTGTTCCATTTTGAGCATCAGGAGCTCTTTCTTTTTTTTTACTTTTTTATTTATATATGACAGTGGAATGCATCATAATTCTTATTATACATATAGAGCACATTTTTTCATGCCTCTAGTTGTATACAAAGTGTATTCACACCAATTTGAGTCTTCATACATGTACTTTGGATAATAATGATCATCACATTCCACCATCATTTTTAACCCCATTCCCCTCCCTTCCCTTCCAACCCCTCTGCCCTATCTAGAGTTTGTCTATTCCTCCCATGCTCCCTCTCCCTATTCCACTATGAATCAGTCTCCTTATATCAAAGAAAACATTCGGCATTTGGTGTTTTGGACTTGGCTAACTTCACTTAGCATTATCTTCTCTAACTCTGTCCATTTACCTGCAAATGCCATGATTTTATTCTCTTTTATTGCTGAGTAATATTCCATTGTGTAAATATGCCACATTTTTTTATCCATTCATCTAATTGAAGGGCACCTAAGTTGGTTCCACAGTTCAACTATTGTGAATTGTGCTGCTATAAACATTGATGTGGCTGTGCCCCTGTAGTATGTTGTTTTTAAGTCCTTTATGTATAGACCAAGGAGAGGGATAGCTGGGTCAAATGGTGGTTCCATTCCCAATTTTCCAAGAAATCTCCATACTGCTTTCTATATTTGCCGCACCAATTTGCAGTCAGAGCATCTGGAACTCTTTAAGATGGGCTTCTGTGACCATTTGGTATGCCCCATTGTTTTGTTTTTTGAGTATTTTCTTGCTGTCCAGTCATAAAGATCTGGGCAGTTATGTTCAAGCTGATATAGTACAGAATGTAGTTATTATTGAAATTAAATCCTTGCCAAAAAATTCAGTTTATCTAAACACAAATTTATGTTTTTTATAATCCTATTATATAGATTGATATTATTTTATTGGATAAGTAAACCTATGAACATATCTACATAGAATAAAAACATATCTACATACATTAAAAAGATACACTTATATTATGCTAAGTGCTGATATATCAGAGAAATTTTTACCTCTTATAAAACTGTGGTCTGTAGTAAAAGATTTATGAAAATTATATGTAAAGTGATAAATCAAATGTTCATAATTAAAAAAACTTTTTTTTATTATTTTAGTTATAGATGGACACATTACCTTTATTTTTATTTATTTATTCTTATGTGGTACTGAGCTCAAACCCAGGGCCTCATGTGTGTTAGGTAAGCACTCTACCACTGAGCTACAATCCAGACCATAGTTTTTTTTTTTGTAATACTGGGAATAGAAACCAGGGCCTTATGCATACTAAGCAAGTTTTCTACCATTGAGCTCTAGCCTCAGCCCCTGCCTCATTATAAATGTTTTAAAAGTGTGTTTAAGTAAAAAATCTATGTCTCCATTAATTTTTTTCATTAAAGGAAAACAAAGTGTTGCGGACAGTTCCTCTCCTAGCAGCATGCCTCCCCCAGGACAAGTGTAAAGTAAAGATTGGTCGTCGCTTTAGTGAAGAAAGGTAAATGAATTTTAGGGCAATTTAAGATGTTTCTTTTCTACACAGATCTTTCTTTGGGAGGGTTAAAATTATGCCCTTGGCATTTGGGTAGAAAAGTCTAGATGGAGAAGAGTAGTGAAGATTGGGAGGCTGGTAGAATTGTGGCTAATGAAATCAGTAGAGTACACAAAATTGTGAGACACTTAACCTATACTTTATGAACTAATTAGTATTTTTATTTGATTAGATAAATAACTAGGTAGAGAGGAACTTTTATTAGGAATTCAATAAATATCATAAAACTTTTGTTTTCCCCACAGCTAATAAAGATAATTTAAATATTTTTTTTTTTAGAGATGTTGAACTTTCAACTGTCTGCCGGAAGTCTAGTACATTAATATTATATCCAGGGGCTGAAGCTACAGATTTGGAAGAATTTATATTAGATTCTCCTGTTTATCCTTCTACAATCATCATCATTGATGGTACATGGAGCCAGGCTAAGGATATTTTCTATAAAAATTCCTTGTTCCGACTTCCTAAACAGGTAAAACTAGTGTTTTGACAGAAAATAAATACAAATGTATAATTATGTATATTACTTATATTTTCTGTGAAGCAATACATACATTTTAATATATTAATTTAGTGGCATTTATATGTGTTAATCTAGAGGAGAGTGGTAGAATTAATTACATGTGCTTTGTGTATTTGAATACATTTATGTGTGTGTATATATGCATGTATATATACATATATATGATTCCAAATTTGTCATCCCTTTTCAATTCCTATAGTCATATAGGGATATAGGCATTTGCTATATTAAGAGTCTCGTATAATGACACATACCTGTAATCCCAGCAATATGGGCTGCTGAGACAGAAGGATTGCAAGTTTGAGGCCAGCCTGGCAGTTTAGTGAGACCCTGTTTCTGAACAAAAAGGGTTAGGGATAAAGGTTAGTGGCCTAGTGCTTGGCTAGCATGAATGAGGCCCTAGATTTGATCTTCATTACTAGGGGGAAAAAAAGTCTCTTAGACATTTAATCAGAGAAGTATTCCAGGATTATTTTTATGTATATATAATGTTTTTCATTAAGATTATACTTGAATAATTTACTCACTAAATGACCCTGTTCTCATTAGAAATGATTGAATTTTTTAATAGTGCTATTGTATTTTTTTATACTTTTATTTTATTTATTTTTTGAGGATTGAACCTAGTGCCTCACATATGCTAGGCAAGCACTCTACCACTGCGACATAACAGCAGCCCAGAAATGACTAAATTTTTTAACAAAATACTTTTTGTTACTCATTATTATAATCACATGGTTTATTCTTTAATTTTTTGATGTAATTATTTATGATGATATTTTCTGAAATTGAGCCATTTAATTGTTCTTGGAATGAACTCTTTTGAGTTCATACTTTTTTGTGGTAATTATTCAAGCTTTTTACTTGTATTTGGATCTGTTTTTTTAATAACTTTTATATTTCTCTAAGGAATTCTGTTTTTCTTCTAAGTTAGTACATTAGTTGCTGTATACAAACATATATTCTTAAATAATTATTTTAATTTCTCTGGAATCTGTTTTTTGTTTTTAATCACACACACATACACTTGTGTGCACACACATACAAATAATTTTTCCATGAAGAGTTAGGAGAGGTTTCTTTATTTTTTGAGTTTTAAAAAGTGTAAGATTTCAGCTGGGGTTGTGGCTCAGTGTAGAGCTCTTGCCTAGCACATGTGAGGCACTGGGTTCCATCCTCAGCACCAAATAAATAAATAAATAAAATAAAATAAAATAAAGTTATTATGTTCATCTATAATTAAAAAATAAAATAAAAAGTAAGATTTTAGATAGTTTATAATGGCTACTTTATTTTCATTTCATTAATTTTTTTCTTTTTTTATTTGTTCCTTTTAGATATATATGACGGTAGAGAGTATTTTGACATATTATATATACATGGAGTATAACTTTTTCTAATTAGGATTCTGTTCTTGTGGTTGAACATGATGGGAATTACACTGTTGTTATATTCATATATGAATGTAGGAAAGTTATGCCTGATTCATTCCGCTGTCTTTCCTGTTGTTATTCTCCCCTCCCTTCCCTTCATTCCCCTTCATTGAATCCACTGAACTTCTCTTCTCCCCATACCCTTTGTTGTTAACATTTGTATATCAGACAGAACATTTAGCCTTTGGTTTTTTGGGATTGGCTTATTATTCATTTCTATCTTCGTCAGTTTTATTTTTAATTTTAATTTTTATTTTTAATTGGCACAAAATAATTGTACATATGTATGTATTACATGTATACATTGTGTAATATTTAAACCAAGGTATTTAGCATATCCTTTACCTCAGACATTTGTTATTTTATTTCTTTGTGGTGAGAACATTCAAATCATTGGTATAGCTATTTTGAAATATACCTTCATTATTGTTGATCATTGTGTAATAAAGACCAGAATGTATTTCTGCTAACTGTAAATTTATTCATTGACATCTCTTCTTCCTCCTTCCATCTCTCTTTTCTTCCCCAGTCTCTGGTAACCACTACTTTACTGTCTGCTTCTATGAGATCAGCTGTTTTTAGATTGCATAGAGGAATGTGATCATGTGGTATTTTCTCTCTGTGCCTGGCTTATATTGCTTATTTACCATGATTTCCATGTTCATTCATGTTGCTGCAAATTACACAATTTTGTTCTTTTTTTTAATGGCTGAACAGTATCCCAAGAAACACACACACACACACACACACACACACACACACACACACCCCATTTTCTTTATCCATTCATCGAATGATGGACTCTTTTATTACTTCCATATTTTGGCTATTATGAATAGTACTGCAGTGAACCTGGGAGTACAGATAACTTTCCAACATACAGATTTCCTTTCCTTTGGTTATAATAGGTAGTGGTGGTATTGCTGGATCACATGATAATTCCAATTTTAGTTTTTTGCAGAGCCTCCATACTGTTTTCCATAATGGCTCTAGTAATTACATTTCCACCTAGTGTATAGGAGTAGCCTTCCCCCCATATACATACCAACATTTGTTACTTTTTGTCTTTTTGATAACAGCCATTCTAATTGAGGTGAGGTTATATCTGTTGTGATTTGCTGTTCTCCAATTAGTGATCTTGGGCTGTTTTTCATGTACTTATTGTTCATTTGTACATCTTCTTTTCATAAATGTTATTTGGGAATTTTGACTGGATTCTTTTTTATCCCCATGGAGTTGCTTAGTTTCCTTATATACTCTGGATATTAACTCCTTTTGTTAGATGCACCATTTGCAAATATTCTTTCTCATTCTATAGGTTATTTCTTCACTCTGTTGTTTCCTTTGATGTACAGAAGCTTTTCAGTTTGATGTAATCCTATTTATCTATTTTTGCGTCTGTTTGTGCTTTTGAAATCTTATTCAGAAAATTCTTGTCCAGACCAATTTTGTGAAACATTTCCCCTGTTTTCATCAAGTAGTAGTTTTATAATTTTGGATCTTGTATTTAAGTCTTTAATTCATTTTGAATTGCTTTTTGTATATGGCAAGAGATAGGGCATATTTTTATTTTTAGTTTATAGGATGTACAGTTTTCCCAGCATCATTTAAGATTTGAATTTCAAGTACTGCTGTGGTCTGAATTTTGATCCTCCCCTATCACACTCATAAGTTGGAACCCCAACTCCCAGTGTGATAGCATTTGGACATGGGGCTTTTGTGAGATAGTTAGGTCGTGAGCATGGAGCCCTCATGATGGAATTAGTGCCCTTAAAATAAGAGACACAAAATATATATTTCTTTACCCTGTCCCTCTCTTTCTCTCTTCCATAAGAGGATACAGCAAGAAGACTTCATCTGCAAACTAGAAAGACAGCTCTCGCTAGGACCTGGAGCATACTGGTACCCCGATCAGATTTTCCAGCCTCTAGCACTGTGAGAAATAAATGTCTGTTGTTTAAGCCATCCAACTTTTTCTTTTTTTGGTGGTGGTTTTGGGGCCTGAACATGAGGTGCTTCACCAATGAGCTATATATATCCCCATTCCTTTTTATTTTGAAACCGGGTCTCACTAAGTTGCCCAGGCTGGCCTCAAACTCAAGATCCT